GGACCATTTAAAGTACTTTAGTAGAAAAGTCTGAAACTTGCTGCCCTAGATGATTTTCAAGGCTCCTCTGAAAGCCCCAGCATTTTCTCAACATAGCTTCGAACCCACTAAAAACGCAAAACCAGATGCAGAGCTGGATATTTAAGGAACACGTGAAAAGACGAGGTATTAAACTCCTTCTCTTTGGCCCCTAAGTGTTATTTTGCACACTTTTTTCTTGGCCTCTCATTTCTTATTACAATACTACTTTACTTCTTTCCTCTTTTCCAGGCCAGTGATGGGAATGACAATGACTTCTTTAGGGAATGTTCACCATAACTATTTTAAACCATTTAAATACCTATGGGAATGAAAGGGTCCTAAATGAGAATGTTTCTAATTCTATCATTACTCAGCACTAAACTCTTTTGTACATTTTCTGAGCCATTCTAGGAAAGTGGATGAGTGAGGTAAAGTGTGACAACTAAAATAAAATGAATGAAGCTAGGTGTGGTATGGGAATGTCATCTAAAAACGGAAGTCCAGACAGATCTCATTCTGGTCTTCTGCTCTGAAGGCCTTGATCACATGAGTTTCTTTGAACTGGGAGACACCAGGCTTTCTTAACCTTATGCCATTAAACATGGGAGTAATCAGACTTCCCTTGTTCTATTTCTACACCAGTCCTGAGAGAGAAATCTCAAGATAACTAAAATGCACACAGGACTGAGGCAGTCACTAAAATGCCATTTATTACCATTACAGAGGGCAACTGACTGCCACCTCTCCTTCACTGACTCTCCCTCACCTATGCTTCCTCAGGGCTAACTAACCTCTGGCCTGTTCTGAGCAACACTGTTCTTACATTCCAACAGGTTACAATCAAGTCTTGTAGGCCTGACAGCCAGTCCGGCTCATCAGATAACCCGCATATCTATGTTCTGATTCACTCTGTATTGATTTTCCAGCTTAACTGTCAAATAATATCATGATAAATCCCAAAAGCAGACACCAAGTACCCTATCAGCCTAGGGCTTTGATTCCAAAATTATACAAAGAGCACTGAAATCTCAGAAACCAAGAGCATTCACATCTACTAACAACTTCCTCTGGACAAAGCTAAAGAACTTCCCTTTGCCACAAGACAGTGTCCTTGAGATACCAAAGCTACAAAAGAATGTGGCTCGAAGGACAAATATTGTATAAGACCACTATTATAAGAACTCATGAAAAGGTTTAAACACAGAAAAAAACATTCTTTGATGGTTACGAGGGTGGGGAGGGAAGGTGAGGGTTATTCACTAACTAGACAGTAGACAAGAATTATCTTAGGTGAAGGGAAGGACAGCACACACTACAGGGGAAGTCAGCACAACAGGACTAAACTAAAGCTAAGAAGTTCCCTGAACGCAATCAAACACTTTGAGGGACAGACTAGCAGGAGCAGAGGTCTGGGGACCATGCTTTCGGGGGATATCTGGGTCAATTGGCATAACAAAGTTTATTAAGAAAATGTTCTGCATCTTACTTTGGTGAGTGGTGTCTGGGGTCTTAAAAGCTAGCAGGTGGCCATGTAAGATGCCTCAATTGGTCCCCACCACCTGCAGTAAAGGAGAATGAAGAACACCAAAGACACACAGAAAGTATTAGCCCCAGAGACAGAAAGGGCCACATGAACCAGAGACTGCATCATCTTGGGACCAGAGGAACTAGATGGTGCACGGCTACTACCAATGACCGCCCTGACAGGGAACATGGCAGAGAGTCCTTGATGGAGCAGGAGAAAGGTGGGATGCAGAACTCAAATTCTAGTAAAAAGACCAGACTTGGTGGTCTGACTGAGACATGGCCACCAGACTCTCTGTCAATCCAGAACTAAAACAATTCCCAAGGCCAACTCTTCAGACAAAGATTGGATTGGACTGTGGGACATAAAATGATATTCGTGAAGAGTGTGCTTCTTAGCTCAAGTTGATACATGAGACTAAATGGGCAGCTTCTGTCCGGAGGTGAGATGAGAAG